ATGATGAATTGTCTAATTTCAATGATGATAATGAACATTTCTAAGTAGTCTAAGAAATGTTGAGGGATTAATATTTTTCTACTTTGTTTTTTTGTAAGATTAATTCCTAATAAATAATTAATTAAACCTTCTTTCTAAGGAGAGGCCTATGTCCAGCAGTGGACTATTAAAGGCTGTTGATGGGATGATGATGAAATGATTAATTGAGAAAAATGCTGTTATTTAATGAATTTATTTAGCACTTTATTTAACACTTGTTCGAGTTTTTAACATTTTATAAAAAAAAAATGTTGTTAACTCGAGTTTATTAAAACAGCTTGTCGGGTAAAATTCTAGAATTAATTTTTTTACAAGTTGATCTTTAATTATTTACCTGATTTTTTAATCTTTAGCAGTTTTTTTTCTATTAATAATTAATTGATATGAGTGATGTACTGATGAGCAAATAATGCCCTCGCGCTCCTACCTAGAGGCATTAAAATTGGGTTTAGGGGATAATTGGCCCCTCGGATCAGTCTGACTTCTTGCAAAAGGTTTTAAAATAGTTCTCTGCAAAACATATAAGAAAAGGGAGATGAATTATGATATGAATGGATATGATTATGATGACAGAATTTACGTGAAGTTAAATAATTATTTTTGAGAGTTTGACGACTTATTTTTAACGATATGGTCTAAAATAAGCGTAAAAATGAGATTAGAGAATACTTGAGATAAGTAATGTTTTTATGTACCTTGATAACCTGATACCTAGAAATTGGCCGTCTGACCAAGCTAGCAGGTAGGCACGCAATCGTAGTACATACTAACACTCCTCAATCGTATACATTTCGGTGTGCGTTACCCCAGCAAAATAATGTCGAAAATGGTCATTTAAACTTTATAGATAATTAGTTGCTCTCCTTCTGTAATTGTTAGGCACATTTTTGTTTCACTTAAACTTTTTTAGTTATTTCAAAAAAAACATTTCCTGCTGGAGTAACGTTTGAAACGTTACCGCAGCCAGACATTTTCTTTTTTAATTGTAATATTGAAATAAATTTTAGCTAGATAATTATTTATCTGGACTAGGTAAATGTTACAACTTATTTGGTATTTGTATTTTCTTCGGCTGCGAAGTTATTCAAAATCCTGCTGGAGTAACGTTTGTGGGTTTGCTGGATCTCTGAAACGGGTAAGCGGATTGTAACCATCTTTTGTACATAACTTCTTAAGGGTTAGTTTTAATTTGGTCGACAATAAAATAACAAAAATAATGAACCGTTTAAAAATTATTTAGGTAAGTATGAAAACACTTCAATACGTCCTAACACTTTAAATAAGACCTCTAAAGACTTACTTCAAACGTTATTCTATTGCTTGTAACTACCTTCAAATGTATACGAATTTTCGTAAGAATACTGTGACTAAAAAGTTATGATGAAATGTAGCTCTCCACGTTCACGATCACAATGTGTGCGGCCTTTTTTGGCCACCGATAAACCTGTGTGTGGATATATAAACTGAATGTTATGCCAATAATTAGTTGTTTAGTTCAGTTGTCTACCTGTAGAATTTCAGCGTCGTACATATAATAATTTACGAGATAATTAAATAAAAGTCATTAGAAGGTGCAAGTCCGTGGTAATCCGACCATGTTTAGGTGGTTACAAAAAAGCGATCACCCAGTACATTGTGCTGGCTTTTAAAATGTTTAGTGTAATACACCTTACGATTTCGGTACAGTTGCGTACAGTGTTAAATACATTCAATATTTATTCATTATTATTACCTATTATTTATTTGGTTTTTTTCCCTAATTGATCTTAAGCACTAGTTTCTTTACTTAAAATTTCTTTAGTCTTTTTTACTAACGCAGCTACAATCAACAGAAAATCTGCACTGGTCCGCTAAAATTATAAATATGTAGATACATGTATGAACGATTCACCTGACTGCAATAAATCGAAAATTTAAACCAATCAAGAATCGCTGATAATACATCCTTCGCTAGAACGCGGGAGGGGAGGGGCGAAGGGATGCTTCATTGTTTGCAATTTGCATCTAGTGCACTAAACTTGACCCTTAGGCAGATAATATAAGTACGTGTTGTAAAGTACGTGTGCGCTTCCGCTTTCTATTTTTGCAAATATTTATCGTATTCTTGAGAGTTCTTCAATAAGTGTGTACCTAATTACTAATAATAGGCATTAATGCTAATTCGATTCAATTTAAGTAATTGTCAATTCTTGTCTTAGGATATTAATTACTAATGCTAATATTGAAATTTCATAACGATCATAACTTTTAGGTAGGTATATCACTTATTACTAATTTTACATAAATAATTTACTTTATTATAATTTAACTATTTTATTTTCTCCAACATTATTACAGAAATAATGCAATACAGAGTTTGTTCGCGATATGCTAGCCTAAGTCGATTCATCACTTAATAAAATCCCCATCTATTCACAAAATACCTATTTACAACGCATACGTTACACTCTTCAAAACTTATCATTTCATTTTATTTCATTTCATATTTCTTAAATTACCTATACCTACCCTAAAATTAAACTTCAATTAACAAATACTACGCAGGTACCAATTCTATGAACAACTATAAACAATTCACCTAAACATTACGAGAAAACAAAAGCATTCAAAACAATACCTAATCTCCCGTCTGATTACTAATAATGCAATAAACAATCCTAAATAAAAAATAAAAAACATGTACTTTTTTGTAACACTTATGTACATATCCGTAGTAAACTTGCAAATAATATCCTACATATTTCAAAAGCCAGCACAATGTACTGGGTGATCGCTTTTTTGTAACCACCTAAACATGGTCGGGTTACCACGGTCTTGCACCTTCTAATGACTTTTATTTAATTATCTCGTAAATTATTATATGTACTACGCTGAAATTTTACAGGTAGACAACTGAACTAAACAACTAATTATTGGCATAACATTCAGTTTATATATCCACACACAGGTTTATCGGTGGCCAAAAAAGGCCGCACACATTGTGATCGTGAGCGTGGAGAGCTACATTTCATCATAACTTTTTAGTCACTTACAGTATTCTTACGAAAATTCGTATACATTTGAAGGTAGTTACAAGCAATAGAATAACGTTTGAAGTAAGTCTTTAGAGGTCTTATTTAAAGTGTTAGGACGTATTGAAGTGTTTTCATACTTACCTAAATAATTTTTAAACGGTCCATTATTTTTGTTATTTTATTGTCGAACAAATTAAAACTAATCCTTAAGAAGTTATGTACAAAAGATGGTTACAATCCGCTTACCCGTTTCAGAGATCCAGCAAACCCACAAACGTTACTCCAGCAGGATTTCGAATAACTTCGCAGCCGAAGAAAATACAAATACCAAATAAGTTGTAACATTTACCTAGTCCAGATAACTAATTATTTAGCTAAAATTTATTTCAATATTACAATTAAAAAAGAAAATGTCTGGCTGCGGTAACGTTTCAAACGTTACTCCAGCAGGAAATGTTTTTTTGAAATAACTAAAAAAGTTTAAGTGAAACAAATTTAAAAATTTGCTTAACAATTACAGAAGGGGAGCAACTAATTATCTATAAAGTTTAAATGACCATTTTCGACATTATTTTGCTGGGGTAACGCACACTATTAAAACAGCTTGTCGGGTAAAATTCTAGAATTAACTTTTTACAAGTTGATCTTTAATTATTTACATGCTTTTTTAATCTTTAGCAGTTTTTTTTTCTATTAATAATTAATTGATATGAGTGATGTACTGATGAGCAAATAATGCCCTCGCGCTCCTACCTAGAGGCATTAAAATTGGGTTTAGGGGATAATTGGCCCCTCGGATCAGTCTGACTTCTTGCAAAAGGTTTTAAAATAGTTCTCTGCGCAACATATAAGAAAAAGGAGATGAATTATGATGTGAATGGACATGATTATGATGACAGAATTTACGTGAAGTTAAATAAATTTTTTTGAGAGTTTGACGACTTATTTTTAACGATATGGTCTAAAATAAGCGTAAAAATGAGATTAGAGAATACTTGAGATAAGTAATGTTTTTATGTACCTTGATAACCTGATACCTAGAAATTGGCCGTCTGACCAAGCTAGCAGGTAGGCACGCAATCGTAGTACATACTAACACTCCTCAATCGTATACATTTCGTTCGTCAGAAAATACGTGACGTCTGGTGGCCCTGGGATCTTGCTCTAATATGTCTTAAGAAATTTAAGCTTTAGCCTGTATTTAACCTTTATGGCTCATGTTACTACCAATCTTACTACTAGTAGTAACACCAGTAATTTAATTACCCTTCTTACTACTGAAGTTTAAAGTTGTTAGAGCATCAATAATAAATTGACCGTGTTACTACCGCGAAATAAAAAAAACAAAACAAAATATGACGAATTTGTATTTTAAATAAAATGTAACAAAATGCAACATCGTCTGGTCTTGTGGTATTGCATAATAAAATTATAAAATAAAAGAGGTTTGATGTTGATGATGTTGTGTGAGAAAGGGAGTAAGCAGTGACGACGACTGACGAGTGATAGAGGAGAGTGGTAGAAGAAAACTCATTAGCGGACTCTAATTAAATTTGAGAGAAGGGTTCTTCTTAGTAGATGACATAAACTTGAGAAAAAATAAATAAGTAATAGGCAATTGAATTTATTGTTATTTTACAATGAGGAAAACAAGTGATACTGAAGTTAAATTTATGTCACGAAAAGGAGGGAAATTATTACTTATTATTTATTTCAAGAAATCAAATGCTCTGGAAGTTTAACGCTACAAGTGAGTGCGCTTAATATGTGCATGTGTGTTTTTAACCGCCTTCAAAAACACAAAAGAGGACGTTCTCAATTCGTCTATATTTTTTTGTCTGTTTCTTATGCGATATCTCCGTCAATTGTGAACTGATTTTAAAAATCCTTTTTGTAATCGAAAGGTGGTCCCATCACTAACAGTCTTCCTCCGACAGGTCATTACATCTACTTTCCACTGAAAATTTAAAAATAAAATTATTACTATTAAAACCATCTAACAACATATTTTATAGTAAAGTATTATATCCTTAGATAATTAACCCGCCTCTGGCTAGAAGGGATTTCGAGATTTACTCGAGCGTGTCAGATTAACATAGGAGGACTAGGAGGACACATAGGGCCAAGCGTCTAGGGCAGCCCATCAGATTAGTTCATAAAAATCAATTGTCGGAAATACTTACGCGTGTAAGATTAGTGCAAGTTGGGTTAATTACATACACATTAATATGTATTTAAAAAATCTGAAGATTTGAACGTGACATAAGGTAGTGGGAGGGTCACAAAAAAGACCACAAGACCTTGACATTATTTTTTATTTTGAAACAAACAATGCAAGAAATCTTCTATAAATGTCTACATAATTTTTCGCTTGGTCACAATTTCTAAAAAATTAAAAAGAAATCCAACCGTCAGATTTAAAATACCCTGCAAAATCTTCGTCAGCTTTTTGGCTAGCATGACAGGAACATTAAGTTAAACCGTCTGTATAAAATCTAACACGCTCGGGTATTTCGAAATAGCAATTTTTCGAATTTGCAATTTGCATTTTCGATAATTCGCTACGACATTGTCACTTTAAAATCGTCAGACCTTTCAATGGGAGAATTTTTGGCACCTAATTTTTTCTATTCTAATACCTAATCTTTCAAATGCCATTAGGTCCGAGTGACGCTCGAGTAAATCTCCATTTGGCATGACGGACTCCCCTACTAGCGGCTACTACTACTTCGTGCTAACTGTTACAAACAATTAAAACTGAAAACCTTGAATTGTACTTATTTCAAAATTTATTTTGTATTAATATGAATTAAAACTAACTTTTTCCGGCTACACTGCTGCTGCTGTTTTGGCCTAAGTTGTCATTATATGTTGGCATTATATTCATAGATTTCTCACATAGCGATCCTATCTAAAATATTAACCAGGTTCATCATTACCGTTAGAACTAAAATTACCTATTTACATTATTAAGGTTATCCAAACTTGTATTTTCCTTACCTGTTGTAGTGCCACCTAATAGAAAGTGGTATCAGTTGAACTTAATGTAGGATATTACGAAATTTTCGTAATAATTAGGTTAGGTTGAATTGAAGTCTTTGGCTATTAAAATTAAGTGTACTCAACTTAATAATTTTTGTAATAGCAAAATTATTCAGATAATACCGGGGGGGACCCGGATGTTCCCTTACTGCCCCCAAAGTCGTGTGTAGCGCGTCGCGCCACCACCACCCCGGCCTGCTTCTGCTAGAGTGACAGATGGTCTCACCTGCCACCCAGCTTGCGCTTATGGAGCGACCTCCAGCGCCTCAGCCGTCTGCAGTACGTGGCCCGTTCTCGGGCCTGGCGGGCTGGGAGAGCTCGGAACCTCTCCCGGTCCCGCTCTGCCATTTCCTTCGCAAGCATAACCTTCTCGCAGAAGGAGACGGCGGAGTTCCACGCACTCTCGCTTCGTACCATGGCGGCAATCATGTTTCGGTAACATTGACGTTTGTTAACATCGAGAGAATTCCCACTCCAACGGCCGCCACGAGGCTATGCCTTTGCTCCACCCACGCCGGGCATTCTGCCCCGTGGCCCATCAAAGAACAAGGCCTCGGATTTGCGCAGAGCCACCTCAAGACCCAGCCGCCGGATCCGGTCCGTGACTTGAGCAACCCCGGCCGTGGCCTTCAGGGTTGACTCACGGTGCGTCTTGCCGCGCGCCGGTTCGAGCATGTCGTCCGCATAGCACGTGACGGCGACACCATCCAAGAAGGCACTACGAAGCACCCAGTCGTAGCCAATGATCCACAAGAGTGGCCCTTACACCGACCCCTGTGGAACACTGCACGACATTTAGCACAGCTCCCTCCGACAAATATGCCCCGACTATGCGGCGGAGGTAGAGAGGCACTTTGTGATACACGAGCGCCTCCCAGATGCAACTCCAGGGCAAAGTGTTGAACGCGTTGGCGATGTCGGATGGTGAATCCGCCGGTCGCCCTTCCTTTCGGATGAGGACCAGTTTCCCCGTCTTCCACAATTTCGGAAACTGGTCACGCTCGAGGCATGCGCTGAAGAGCCCTCTCAGTCGGGGCCCGAGAGAGAGACTAAGAGTCGCAGCCTTGCGATTTCCGGCGATCACCAGTAGACCCGGCGCCTCGCAGAATTGGGCTGAACCCTAGGCATCACCGCATCGCAGACGCGGGTCATAGCCTTCCGGAACCACTCTGCCTCGACATCCACGTCGACAGGCCTGTCCGGGGGGCCCAGGCCTGTACGATCTAAGTGCTTGAGCGCCCAATGTGGATCAGGTGGAGCCGGCCTAACCGGCGCCCCATTTGTGGAAGCGGAGATGTCAAACCGAATGTATCGGTGATCCAAACCCGCCTTCTCCCCCACAGTGACGCGCCAGTCCTGAGTACGACGTGCTAGCGAGGGTCACGCGAACGAGATGTCCATGATCGACTGCCCCTCGCCGTTACGAACGCCGGTAACGTAACGAGTCCAGGCGTGATATTTAATAGCCTATAGACCTTCCTCGAGCGACTTTCAAATGTAACAAAGATTTTTCAAATACAATACGTTCAGCGCATACGTTCAAAACAAATAAGTAGTATAGTTTAGTTCACTTCTCCACTTCTCGTAATCTGGAACTCACATGCTTTTGCTTTATTCCCTTTAAGGTTTATAAATTGTTTTTGATAATTGTGAAAACGAATGAAACAATTTTTACAAAATAAAAAATGACATTTTATTTCAATTCATGAAGCATGGTAACAAGGTATATTTTTATTTTTTTATATCAGGGTTAGAACATTTCATTACACGTGATTAATTCCTACCAAACGATTAGACTAAACGGTAACTTGTATAAAATGTACATTTAATAATAATATGTAGTATAAAACAGTACCATTATTTACCGATATTATTATACTTTTTAGTGAATTTTTACTTAGCATAAAATTGTCAACTATTTGAATTAACTCTAGGCCTGAAAAATAAATGTTTTCAGTCACAATCTATATTTGTAATAGTCAACAACTTGAGTAGGTAATGTTTTAAGGCATTTCAAGATAATCTGTACAACCATTTATATATATATACATATATATATATATTACTAGTATGCTGTACTGTATTCAAGTATAACGCCTCTGTTCCCTTTTTTAATGAATTGTTATCAGGAATAACACAAAAAAATGACCATAGACAAAATTGAAATTTTAATGTAATTTATTACAATGAGAATGTAACAATATTGTTCATTAAAATAAATCAATTATATAATTATTTGGCTTTGTACAGATTACAGGATAGGGAAAACAATATTTTGCCCATATATTTCCAAACTGGTTTTAAATCATCTCACATGGCAAACGAATCTGATATTATTACTTAATTAAACTTAAATAATAGCTATATTAAAATTATATCTACTAATTTAAACTATGTATTAATTCATTCTCTATTTTTATTTGCTAATGTTAGTTTTGGCGGGTCTAGTAGGGCTTCTCACAACATAATATATTGAACTAAGCATTTTTTTAGGTACAAACCACACATCCCTTTAGATACTATACGCACAATGTATAATGTAGCAAGTAAGCAAGTAATAGACAATTTGAATTAAATGATGAAAATAATTATAATAGCATAATTCACTGACTGTACCTTAAGTTTCTTAGTGTACTTACTTATTTGATCATACTATTTCCGTGTCTTAAACGAATGTAACAGAATTTTAGAAATAGTATGATGCGACAATTTGATTGATTCCAGGTTATAAGGTATTGGATGGTGTCACAAGTTAACAGGACAAATATAAACCCGCGTTTAAATTCATTAATACAGACCAGTAGTTAAATTAAGACAACACTTATCTAGATTCAATTATTGCTAAAATAGGTACTCACTATATAGGTAAACCTTGCACATCCATCAGGTCTTCATGTTGTGGAGCGTGCGCGAAAGTGTGCGCACTAGAGGCGGGCGGCACGGTGAAATGATGGTGATGGGGTCTTGGACGTCGAGGTGAGCGCGCAGTGATTATTCGTGGTTTATGGATTTCGTCCATTACAGATGGCGCCACATAAGTAAAGCCCTAATGTGAATACAAGTTATTGAGAAAGATCAAAAATGTTTATTTATGGTTAAATAATTTTTTTATGGTATAAGGGGGAGGGGCATATAAGCAGACGAGTCACCCGATTTTAAGTAACTACCGCCGCCCATGAAGTTAAGAGTCAAGGCGCGTTGCCCACATGAGCTGGAGTCGAGGCGGCGTCGAAGCAGGGGCGCACGAGCGCCGCGCCGCTTCTACTTTTCCTTCAGGAATAAATAGCAGTGCGCTCACACACTAGAGTCGCGTCACTGACGAGGTGTCGAGGCGGAGACGGGTTGGCAGCACGACGGGGGTGCTAAGCTCGACCGCGCCGCGACACCACCGCCGTTTTGTTTCGTGCGTAGACGTGTTAACACTTCAAAGATTTGCGATAATTTTGAGACCACGTAAAATTCATTGAAATTGTACGATTTATGATTAAACACGATCAGATTATGTTGAATAAAATGGAATGTATGAAGGAAGCAAAGCCGCCCGCGCCGCGACTCAACATAAACTTACCAGTGGGCGACGCGCCTAAGAGTCAGGGGGAGAAGAGGTTTGTGATCCAGTAACCTCACTCGCTTGGTGAAAAGCAAAGGAAGAATTTCTTAACACCAGTTTTCAGTGAGACCCTGGTATGACTCCGGTGAGCCTGCCCATTTGTGCTGAAACATGGCTCTCCCACGGTTCATAGCGTTAATCTAATGCTGCACCTCCAAAAAGTATATAATAGACAGGGTGGATGCGAACTGCCCAAGACCAGGATGGTTTTGCACTCTTTTGGGGAAGGCCTTCGTTCAGCAGTGGACGGCAATAGGCTGAAGTAAGTAAGTATATAATAGATAGATATTGTTATGCCAAAATGTAGATGTCCATGTCTGTACAAAACATACAGTACGGTGTATAATACCTATGCCGTACGTTTTTGCCACTGATGGTAATTCAAGCAGCAAAATTATCTGTTAGCTAAACCTTTTCTTACGTTTTGATAAAATAAACATTTTTAATTTCTTTCTTTACAATTACGATGTATAACTAAATAAAGCATTACCTGAAACATTAGATTAGCACTTTCACTTAACGTAGACTCGTCAGGTGAATCGATAGGTGTTTGAAGAGTGAATCTTGTATCAAATTGAGAAACATCATCTTCACTTGTCTGAAACAGTAAAATATTCACCAGATAAATGTTGAGTAACAATATTACTTGATTATAGATCCGTTACTGAGGTTAGAACTGAAATAAAAATATAATGACGACCGAATGGCGTAGTGGTTTGTGTAACGGACTGCTATTCCAAAGGTCGCGGGTTCGATTCCCGCTCAAGTCAAACATTTGTGTGCATGAACATTTAATGTTTGATTTGGTCTGGGTGTTTCTATGTATAACAAGTATGTATTTACAAAAAAGAAAAAAAAGTATATATGTATTTATATCAGTTATCTAGTACCCATAGTACAAGCTCTGCTTAGTTTGGGACTAGATGGCGTTGTGTGAATGTGGTACAATATTAATGTGCTGATAAAATGTATGATTCACTGAGCCTTTGTCGCGCTCCCATAGTATTACTACATCCCAACAGGAAAATGTAACTCATTTATACATCTAAATCGGATTACTTCCTTCTCTTTGCAGTGCTATTGTTATGCGTTGTTGCTCCTTTAGTCAGATCTTAAGACAGCCACGGGATGAATAGGGTTGACACTCCATATTCTTAGTCCGTCACCATTCAAACATTCAATAATCTACTACTTTTTATTAACAGCTTTTAATTTAATTTAATCTATACTAATATTATAAAGCTGAAGAGTTTGTTTGTTTGTTTGTTTGTTTGTTTGTTTGAACGCGCTAATCTCAGGAACTACTGGTCCGATTTGAAAAATTCTTTCAGTGTTAGATAGCCCATTTATCGAGGAAGGCTATAGGCTATATATCATCACGCTAAGACCAATAGGAGCGGAGCACCAATGAAGAATGTTTCAAAAACGGAGAAAATTTAGTACTATTGAGAGACGCAGACGAAGTTGCGGGGGTCAGCTAGTCTAATCATAATTGTATCTATCATGATTACATTTCTACTTAATTTTGAATAGTCAAATATCATAATACGTTGCTACGGTAATTGAATGTCAAGGTATCTACGACTTTTACATTCAACTTTTTTGGATAGGATGCATAGTTTCGCCGCAAATCGTAAAAACGAATATCCACCCCTAAACACGTATGTATATAGTACCAACCCCTACCCGGGACTTTAACTTATATCGATTTTTATTCAATTACTTACACCATTAACTTCAATAGACATATATTTACTACATAAAAACTGTTTACAAATAAGGGTGTTTTACATATTGGTATCAGGCTCAACAGTTACCCAGTTCAGGTGTTGCAATTTATGTGAAATCCAATTAAATAACATCATTAAATTAATATTTTAGCATCAAAGAATTCTCTCAGACTATAAAACACATTGTTTGTTAACCACTTTTTCAAACTATTTCTGAACATATTTCCGTTTATTTTTTTTAAATCTACGGGAATGTGATTTAATACACGTATAGCAGTGATATATATGCTTTTGTAGTGTATGGTATTATTAATGTTAGGTATGTTAATATTGTATTTATATCTTTTACGAATATTTGTTTTTGAGTCTGATTTCAATTTGAAAGAAATTAAATAGCATTTTACGAATATATTTTTTTTTTACAAGCATTGGTTTACACGTTTCAAAATTGTTTAATTGTATTTAGATTTAATGAAAGAAAAAAAGAGACACTACATACACAGATAAATAGATGTAGGTGATACGAAGTTCACCGGGGGTCATCTAGTAAACTGATATATTTTTATCTGAATCAAGAACAACAATAATTCTTAGATTTCTTCGTGTTTAAATTTAAGATTTTTTTTTCTGTTTGATAACTTAAGTGAAAACTGAAACTGTTAACTAACAGTAACAGGTAAAAATGTAGAAAATTATGTGTACAAAACTTAGTTTAGTAATAATTTTTCAACTTCCTGAATGCACTATTATGTTTGTGACATTACCAGTATTCTTTCAGTCTTTTGTAGTATGACATGTGAATATATCTGGAATCCAATCGTAAAGGTCTGGTCTACAAACCACTCACATTAATACAAAATAATGCTATTATTATTATTAGTACCTAGTAACAGCTCTCTTTTGTAGACTAGATAACAGCTATTTTCCTAGTCTGATAGACCCAAATAAACCAGATTGATGTTTAACTACTTATGGTTGCAGAGGATATTGACTTTTAGTTTTATACTGCTACAAAGTGTATTTCATAATTACCAGTCTGGGCTTTATAGGTGGTTCCAATCTTCTAGCAAAAACATCATCCCAATGAACGTGTTTGAAGAAGGCATGACCGCGTACAGCCGCAGCCCCTTGTGCTCCGAGGCGCTGAGTTTCTGATCGTTTCATAAGGCGTCTTATCAAATCGCGTGCATCTTGCGTAAGATAGGCGGGTAGCATAAGTTTGCCTTTTAATATTTTCTCTATTGTTTTTGTACGGTTATCACCAGTGAATGGGGGCTGAAAATTATTTTGATTAGATTTTAATAACTATGACAAGTATATTGTACAAACCAGATATACACACATACACGAAAAAAGGGGGATGGTTCTGTCAGTCTGCGATGTATACCCTATTAGAGGCATAGTTTGATTACCCTTGCTCGAACTCCCATAACCATGCAGTTGATTCATGATTTTTGCAGTTATTGCTATCATACGTCACTTTTTTTTAAGTTTCATAAGAAATTGGTCCTGACATAATCAAAACATTCCTGATATCATGTAAGATCGTAATAGCAGAGTATAGTTTACTTATTTGGTAAATGTGTATATTTATTATCACTACTTAGTTAAAGCAGAATAAAAAAAAACGCTTGCTGGTCTAAAGGTATTATAATAATAAATATCAAATCAACGAACCTGTCCAATAAGCATATCATACATTAAAGCGCCAAGACTCCACCAATCTACCGCTTTACCATGACCACTTCTGGTTAATATCTCGGGTGCCCTAAAAAAGAACTACATTAAAATATGAACAGTGAAACTATAAAACAGTAACTCGGTAAAATATCAAATAATTAAGGATACACCTTAATGAAGCTGTCATTTCCATTTCGAAAAAAAAACAATATGTATGAAATAACATGCAGTGTCAATCTCTGTCAAAGTTTAGATGAAGATAAAGATTATTCAAGAAAACTTTACTGGGTATTTTATCCACATTATGATTAAAAAAAAAAAAACTTCACACATCTCACACATATCCGTGTGGTGACGGATTAAGAATACGGAGTGTCGCCACCACTATTCATCCCATTGGTGTCAGAAGAGCCGACTAAGGGAGCTAACTACGCAGGACAATAGCACTGCAAAGAGAAGGAAAACTTGAAACAAACACTATACCAACCGTCTGCTCGGATACAACACGATATAATCACATTACAGTCAACTTTGGATCTTTAACACTTTACTACGAAAATACCTTATATGACAGTCGTGAAATCGAGAGTTGGTTGGAACTGAATTGTGACCGAACTTTTATTACGAGGTTTGGCCTTCAAAGGGCTAATTGTGAGTTTATTTCAGTTCTACTCGATCGTCAAGGTAAACGTGCTCGCTGTCGAGGGCGAGTTGATGTGAAATAAACTCACACTTAATCCAAACTAAGCAGGGCCTGTACAGCCCAGCAGTCTGGTGACCTTAAATCAGACTACTTTATAATAATAAACATACTTATACATTTCTAAATATATACATATTATTGACAAATTACATAAATACACAGATCAAGTGATCGTTCTCATCACACCATTAATTGTCCTAGGCGCGAATCGAACCCACGACCCCTGGATGAGCTATCAGGGTCACTAACCACTCGACCAACAGGCTAGTCACCAAAACAATATTAATAAATAAGCGCAAAGTGAAGATAAAGAAAATTATAATAACAATGAGTAACTAAAGGTCAGTTTCCGTGTATCGTAGCCGATCGCAGTCACGGCGTTTGATAGATAGTTACACGATAACTTCAGTAGACATGTACAATGGGCAAGGACGGGCGAACAACACTGAGTGGAGCACCTCGAGAAACACAAAAATACGCAGCCTACCTCACTGCGGCCACGCGGTGTTTACCGCACGAGATCAATCGCTCGCTATAGACGGAAATGAACCTTAAGACTGCTCTATAAGGAAACTCAAGGGTTGAAGTAGTGTTTATTGTTATAGTTTTCGTAATTAGAAGTAAACAAGGGCAAATAACTATGAACTAGATACAATGGGTAATTCAATTATTCTTTATCATCCGCAAACTATGCTGACTTTTTTGCTTTATTAGTTTTTATAGAACTACTTATACATGCGTGTATTTACGCGATCTCCTAATAGGACTTACATTACTTTTTAATTGCCTGATATTTCAAGCTGGTTGCGCTAGTCATGGTCTCAGCCTCTGCCCGTGGCCAATATAGTATAGGTATAGGCCAGTATAGGTATAGATATCTAGTAGTATAGGCATAAATACTATAGGTACGACAGTGTGTTTAGTTTTGGGGACATCAATTTACATGTTCAAGGCATCAACAAAACGCAATGCAACCGTTTACAACCTCCGATGTTTCGGTATCTAAAAGATTTATTCTGCACATTTTGTAAGCTGATACATTTAACAGCAATATTGAAAACAAATATTGACTGCATCTAAATATTAGGGGTACCCAGAAGGTTAGTTTTTACAAATATTATACATTTTTGGTTCATAAAATTTGTCTCTGTTTCTTTAATTCTTCATTCAACTTTTCGAGCTGGCTGCAGTACTTTTAGGCTGTGATTGTATCACCTGGCTAATAACATAAATTATCCCATGAACGTCCCACTCTATGGACAGCAAAACTTTTTTGCAGTGAAACCCAGTTTCGAGATTTGTCTAGGTAACTGTACTCGTGACAACCATTGTTTCTTACGTTTTTTGTTGTCGAAGATCAGCCACTTTTCATCTCCTGTCACTGTGAATTCCAAGAAGGGCGTCTCAGCTTTCTGAAACAATAAACCTTCGCACATTCGAACACGCGCGCTTTTTTTTTTCGATGTTCAGCGCATGCGGCGCCCACACGCCTTATTCCATATTTTTCCTTTGTTTTTACAATACAAAATACTTTATTTTAAATTTGTTGTAAAAGATAAAAGCTTACATAAATTCATTTTTCACATGGATCACCCGTTTTATTTGCTAATTTGTTGTGACATTTCAGGATTGTCTTCAATTTTAGACACTATTCGACCTTTATCGATACCTTCAGGTGCGGCGCTTTCCGATTTGTCTTCAAGTGAAAAACCTCCACATTTATATCTTTCGAACATTTTTGGTATTGACAAAGTCCTAACAGTTCACCATAACAGCCAGCATAAATGTTTTTAGTTCCCTTATTTGCAGATTTTATTTGATGGAATTCATACAGTATACACAAGCACAAAGGTATTTTGACAGCACGAAGGTCTCTATTGTAAGTAAACTTACAATGGTTTTGTTTTTTTTTTCACTAGAAACACACTGTCCAGATGTTGCCGAAAAATAAGAACAAGAAAGATGTGTGATGAATGATGAGAGTTGAGATAAGTTATAACTAGCTGATAAAGTTAAGCTTTTTAAATACGAACTTCTTCTAGATACTCTTCTAAGTACCCCTAATATGAAGACATTTCTTTATAATACTGAATGGCTGTTGCATGATTAAGAGTTTATCATTATATGGGTTTTAAGGTAAATCAACCAAATTGTGCTCATCTTTACGTTTTAGGGAGTTTATCATTATTAAGAATAACATTATACAAAGTTTTACATTATGTGTTTCCATAGAAGATTATTGATAACATGCCTTGTGGCAAACAATAGACTGGTCCTCCCAAATATATATATAAAAAGGTATATTTAAGGTATTACACACCTCTACCTTATCTTTTAAGATCTACAGGCCTAAACAGTTACATACTGATTATCAACATATTTAAATAGAAAACAAATAAGTGGTACAGAGCACAACTTTAACCACCAATTGTGCTATAGGTATGTAATCTTATTAACTACAAAGTGATATATCTTGGCTAAATCGGCTAATACTGAAGAAACAATGAGTCTTGGAAAAAACACAGTCATTGTTCAAAACTGGATATTAGTTGTTATGTCTAGAATAAGTTGTTTATGGAACATTATACTTACATGTACTCGATTGTCCCACAGAATGTGTGAGTGACTATACCCTCTTGAATATGTTCCTTACACAGACCAAAATCTGTAAGCTTTACATGACCTTGGGCATCCAAGAGGACATTCTCAGGTTTCAGATCACGGTAAATTATACCAAGACTATGTAAATGCTCAAGCGCCAATATAATTTCTGATAAATAGAAGCTGAAAATATAATTAATTCAATAAAATTAGTTACTTGATGTACTTAACAAAACTGAAAGATAAGTTGTGTTCATCTCATTATTATCTTTAAAAAATCCTAAAAATATATTTTATCTTATCATAGCTGTGATAGCTGTTTATATTTTAAGATTTTTTAGACAATTAAGTAATATCTATATGAAGTAAACTACTTACCATGCGGTGTCTTCCAGGAATATACCTTCACGTTCAAGATGCATAAATAATTCGCCGCCACTTAAGTATTCTAAAATTAAGTACAACTTGCCACCTGTTTGAAAAGCATATACTAATTCCACTATGAACGGATGCTGAAAGTGTAATTAAGATAATTTCTGTCAGAAGTAATTATAACTGTATTGTAGCCCAGTTACACACTATTACACTATAATCTTTATAAATATGTAAGTAGCTATAAAAGTTTACATTAACTTCATCTATGTTACATTATACTTCATACAATTAATTGTGCAGTACTTTAGTTAAAACTATAATATGCAATAGAAGTTTTACATTTCAAAGTTCTGGTAAAGTTGCAATAGAATATAAAAGATAATTTATCTGAATCTTCATATTGCAAATTGCATTTTCAAAAATATAAATATGCAGTATACAAAAGGGAGATGTCATGTGGCATACAATTAATATTAGGTTCTTGTTATCTAAATATATTAACCAAAATGTTTGTTACCTTAACAGCCTCTAGGATATTTCTTTCTGCTTTGGTGTGTGCAGTGTCTTTTTGATTGCGTACTATGGACGCCTTTTTAAGAACTTTCATCGCAAAATGAGCACCAGCATCAGGCCCAGTAATTTTACGAACTTGGAATACTTTTCCATATCCACCCTTCCCCAAAACTTTACGTAGTTCAAAATCTTGAGGACCTAAGCGTTTACATTGACCTGGATTTACAATATCTTCAGACAGCTGAATAGTTTCAGAACCTTCAGACCTAAACAAAAATATAGATACATAAAGACAACACTAAAAAAAATGCCTTTAAACTAACTTACTTACTTACTCTTACTTACTCTACTATAGCATGTACATGGAGCTCAGGATCGTAATCCACCTAAAATAATACACAGCTATTTAGAAAGATTAAATTAAAACTTGCATAAAGTTTTTGTAACAATTCATCATAACAAGTTAAATATATTTAGGTTTCTAAATTAAGCATTAAAGGAAAAAGATACAAATGATAGCATTAGTAATTATACAGTAAAAATATTTTTTTAAACTGAGTATTACTGAGACGAAATCTATCCTTGACAATCAAGTGAATATAGAACAAGGTTTTAGGTTAAGTAATAATGAGGTGTCTTTAACTTTTATTGAAATGTAAAGAATACCTCATCAACATCAATTATATCATCTTCATCAGACTCTGCAACGGGAACTGCATCCACATCTAAATCTAAATCAAACACACCAGCCATATAAGATGACATTTCAGGAATATCACATCAGCAAAACACTTTAATTTTGGAACTGTAAAAAATGTAACGTTAATTTGGGAATAATTCAGATCATAAGATGTATTATTTAAAATTTAGTTATGACTAAATCTTCACAGATCTTATGACAACACAGAATATTTCATTCGAGGATGTGGACAGCAAGCTATACACTACAAATTTAATAGGGACGTCCAGTGTTGCCAACAGTTAAATTGACTCTCCACCAGATTCAGAATATAAAACCACCAGAAAACCATTAACGAAAAACCGCACTATTGCAATAGTCGGTAAATTTTCCTTAAATCATTTTTTAGGTATTTCGAAAGAACACAATAAGTATAACAAAAATGTTTTTTTAAATTACTACGTAATACTAGTACTAGCAATCAATAAATCAACATACAAATACTAAATCAACAAGATAAGATCAGGATGCCTTAGTGGTTTGTGTAACGGACTGCTATTCCAAAGGTCACTGGTTCGATACCCGCTCAAGTCAAACATTTGTTTGCATGAACATTTAATGTTTGATTTGGTATGAGTGTTTCTATGTACAACAAGTATGTGTTTACAAAAAAAAAAGTATATATGTATGTATATCAGTTATCTAGTATCAAATAGTACAAGCTCTGCTTAGTTTGGGACTAGATGGCGTTATGTGAATGTGGAATATTATTATTATTATTATTTTTCTTATATTGTAAAGAAGCAAACGAGCAGATTGAGCAGACAATGTATTCTAAACATATCAGATAAAAGCTTAACTCTATTCTGTTCCACTGTTTGTTTTTATTACATTCATTAATAGTTCTTCTTCAAAAAGGCATCTTTGAAGTTCAATACTTCCAGTATGTGAAAGGTCCTTAACACGTCGGGTGTAGGTAAATAACAACAGACCGAGTGTCGAACGACCATTAGTTTGAATGATATCAATCTTCATTGTTCTTCCGCTACTCAACTGGATCATCAAACCAAGAGTCGGATTCTGAACTACACTGCAAGTCTGTTCTAACACAATATTCTCAACTTTGAACTTTCTCTGGTACCTTCTGGGGACATCAAAAAGATCATCCTGTTTGTGTGTTCTAACGCAATGAGTTGTGATGACATTAACCTAAGGATGAAAGTTACCATTTTGGATTACGTCCTCGAAGTTATAGAACATTATTCTGTCTTTTCACTCGACTTCAGCATCTTCCTCTCTTTCTGGCATAAAGCCTACATCATCCCATAGGCTTCTGTCCAATCTCCATCTATCCTTTCCTACCAAGTTTCTTAAGGTTGACGTACACAAACAGTTCTCACAGTCAGACTTTCAACATCATCTCGTAAGTTCTATACAATCTCACTATTGCTACTAACAACTAACTAGACAAATCCACTAGCCACTAAACGCAATATTTTATCAAAACAATGTGGGACGAAACTACCAGTTTCAGTGGAACATTCACAAGATTGGCAACACTGGTACGTCTATATTGTCTACAGCAGAAGTTAGTGATTTGCCTCGAATGGAATCACAAGTAGTATGCTTGTTCGCAAAGAAATAATGGCAATGACCGGCAGATGCATTCAGTTGTAATCCTGTTATGTATTAGAGTGTTAATTAAAATGTGAATAAAAATTCATGGGTTTACTTTGTTGAAATAGAAACTCTATGGTGCTTTGTAAAGTTCCTCTTTGAGAGTGTGGCCTATTCTTCTATTGTCAGGTTACTAGGTTCTTTTGTTTTTTCTGACACTGTAAAAATACCTTTGACATTATTAGATTATTGAAAAGTTCCATGTGTATTTTCTATTATAAAAAGATCCTATAACTTCAACATACTTAAGATAACAAAAATAAAAAAAAGGATAGAATAAAACATTTTTTGTTATTTTTTTTTACATGGTGCCTTTAACAATGCAACAACTATAGTTGTAAACGTAAAAGCAATTTTATATAAACGTAAAGAAATGTTTATAAATATAATCTTATCCTTCTCTCTCATCGACTGCCCGGAATCGTGATTATGTCAGACTTGCAGAGGCGGCTCATGAGGATAGCGAGCAGGACAAGCGCCCGGAGCCTCGCTCGTAGCTCGTGCAGGGTCTTCGCATATTCGTGCTAGAACCTAAGTAAAAAAAAAAAACACACACTTCTGCAACCAGCTTTGGTCAATCGGTCGCCCCCACTGCTCCTTCACGACAACGCGCGACCCCATACTGCGCAACAGACGGTCTCCAAGCTGCAAGAAATGGGGTTGGAAGCTCTCCCTCATCCGCCATACTCACCAGACCTTGCACCTACCGACTATTACTTTTTCCAAAATTTAGACAACTTTTTAGTTGGTAAAAAATTCAATTCCCGAGAGGCAGTACAAAATGCCTTTGAAGAGTTTGTTGCCTCCCGTCCAGCTGATTTTTATAAGAAGGGCATCAATAAACTACCAATGCGTTGGCAAAGATGCGTCGATTGCATGGGTGATTACTTCGAATAACAGAAATAAAAAAGTTTGAAAAAATAAATACTTTCACTTATTGCATACAAAACGGCAATTTCATAGGTAAAGACCTAATATTCAAAATAATTTTTTTTATTGAAATTGATAACTTGGCCTTTGCCATTTACATTTTAAAGATAACTTCATGTAAATGTTGTCATTGAGCTGTTCTAAGGCCACCACACCACCACATATTAGACGTTGTGGTAGGTCATTCGGCTTCAATTCTTGCAGAAGTTGAATTTTATAGGCTTTCAAACCTAAATCAACACGTAAAATTTTCCATGTGGTTGAGTAACACATGCCCAATTGCTGAGAACGGCGACGAATTGACATTTCACGATCCTCATTAACACTGGACGCTACGGCTGCAATATTCTCTTCAGTACGCACTGTACGCATGCGAGACAATGGTTTAATGTCCAACAAAGTAAACTTGGTGCGAAATTTGGTGATAACAGCACGAATTGTTGATTCACCAGGTCGATTATGACGACCATAATATGGTCGTAACAAATGATACACATTTTTCACTGAGCACGAATTTTGATAGTAAATTTCAACAATTTGCAATCGTTTCTCGTTTGTAAGTCTTTCCATGATGAATTGGCAGGGTATACTAAAAACTTTTCACTTTGTCAGATGACGTTTGGATGCCATTACCAATCAGTGTTGCCAGCCTGAAAGACTTAACTCTTAAAAAATCACCTATAATTGCTCCGTGGGACTAAACAAATTAGTGATTTTTAGTTCAGTTTAGAGAGTTTTCGAACAACAGAATTGTCACCATCGTTGTCATAATTTAATCAATGTATTATTTTTTAAAGAAATACTTAAAATATTCATACCAAAATATTTATAAGTTTGGTTGGTCATGAAATGCCAAACCTTAAAAAATTATACAAGCACTTGTTAAAACTAAAATTGTGTTTATTTCTGAACGCACTTTTACTTTTGTACTTGTTCTGACGGTTTCTGTCATCTGTTTGTAACCGAGGGTGTAAACATGATTTACTTTGTAGAGTCGTTTTTTACTTTTGTAGTTCTTTTTATATAAAGTGAAGTCAAAATAAAATGGAAATGAACTATTTATTGTGATACTATTACTTTTGAAATTTACTGTTTGAAGATCTTCAATGGCTAGTGACAACGATAAAAGTTCAAACAATCATAACTTGGATAGTTCGGTGAAAAGTACCAAGATACCAATAAACAGCGGCAGCAACGGTGAGATCATTTTTGTTTACGTTTTTTTTGCGATTACGAATATTAATCCCACATATCATAGTTAAACGATGATATTAATAACCTCGTCAGACTGCTGCCATTATTATGTTTGCTGCTGTAAGTACTTAAAACTTTGCAATACGTTTTTTTTCTTCTACATTGCCAGTTATTTCTCGTAACAGCTAGTCTATATATCCTATAATTCAATTGTATTTGAAATGATTTTAGACAATATATTTTTCTATGTATAATAATTATATTTACTTATTTCAAGGTATCACTTGTATATAAAATTTTGTTTAATAGTCTTAACTTGTAAATTGACAACTGTTTTTCGAAATCAGTTATATATTAGAAGCTTAAAATTTATTTTTATTTAAATGACATCTTATAATATAATTATTAAAACTGTTTTTGAATGGCCCATTACTTATTCTTTGTTTTTCAATACTGTCTATTCTAAATATTATAATAATTTAGGTATGTATATCTCAATAAAAATATTCCATCAAAAAGGATCATTAAGTGCCAGATTCTTAATGTTTAGCTTATTAGTACATTTAGTACTTAAGATAAACAGGTATTTGTGTCATCAAATAAATATTATCTTAATGACCCACCCAATTTCATAAAGTGGTAGTTGTAATAATAATGTTTTCTAGTTTAACTATAAGTGAAAAAAATACTAAAATTATTCTAACTGTTATAATTTATTTTATATTTATTAATCTGCAGCTTTAAGCAGAATATATAACATTTAAATATAGTTTAGAAAGGCAGAATATGTCGAAAGGTAGTTGTACTGTATGTATTAATAACATTAACATGTATGAGAATGATATTAAGTTTTATTTTAAGGTCTTAAAGTGACTAATATTATTATTTATTTTATTTAAGTAACATTACAAGCTCACAGTCTCACAACCAAAACGCTTATATGCTATACTACATTGGATCAGATATAAAGACCACAGATCATTATACAAAACAATACATTAAATTATTTATATAAATTACAAATAATTAATAATTCATACAATCACACAGAAATAATAAAATGTCATGAAATAAAGAATTAAAGCAATAAGATGTCATAAAAATTTACAAGATGTCAATAAATATTAATAGCTATACAGAGTACATTATAGGTAACAGTTATTTATGAGTATTTAAAAAGATCATTACATTTTGCATTAATTTGGGTAAGCTGTCAAAAAATATGTCTGCATCTACATTATTTTGCAAAAAAACATTAATTAGTTGGATAGCTTTTCCCGTGGGGCTACTAACAGCTTGTGGGAGACGCCACGTTGTAGGATAAGTCAGGAGTCGGTGATGGCGACGACAACCGCACAAGTAATTATTTGGTACATACAAATTAATGCATTCACGCATTTATGCGCCTATTCAAACTATGGAGAGGTAAAGCAGAGTTGGATATCATTTTGACATTATAAACAAGTCAGAGCCTTAATTCAGTCCAATTATTCAAACTCACCTGTGTTTAAAATGTAATCGATTATACATGTTTAGGTGTATTTATTCAAGTAATATAAAATAATATAAATTTTATGTATAGCTCATACATAAAATTTAGAAGGAATTGTTTGATGTGGATTTGAATTTCAATATGCAAGTAATTTTATATTAGTTGTCTTAAAAAGTCCAGGATTAATTTTTAATACCAACAAATATCATGTTTAATAGATCTAGATTACTTTTTTTATTTGAATCACTGCAGCGACAGTGTTTTTGTTAGAGTGACAGTTGAATTTATCATCATCTTGCCTTTTTTGACAAATTTATTCTAGAAAATGTTCTCATCTTAATCCAATGTATCCCGTTCACTGCTTATACCTGTTTCTTACCTGCATCCTAAAATGATACAGGTAATGCTTCTTTTGTTTCACTTGTATTCATCAACTTCTATACATAAAACTTTCTTCACCACATTTTGCTCCTTCTCATCAAATATCATCACAAACTTGAATTTATCTGTCAATATTTTTATCAATCTTATTAGTTGTCCACAGCATGAGAGACAGGTTTTGTTATTTTTTGGTGTGGATTTTGCTGACCAATTTCACTATAATGAGCTGAATACTTATCAAAAATAAAAGCATAGTGTCGGATTAAGAATTTAGAGTGTCACCACCCATTTCTATTCCATGGGTGTGTTAAGAGCCAACTAAGGGAGCAAAATATGTAGGACAACAGCACTGCAAAGAGAAGGAAAACTTGAAACAAACCCTGTACCAACCCTCTGGCCAGTATAATAAAGTGAGCCATAACCACCTTTCTAAGGAGAGGCTTATGTCCAATGTCCAGATGTGGACTATTAGAGACTGTTGATGTGATGTGAAAAAGCATTATTACCTTACACATTCATCTTACCACCCAAACCGTACATGCTCGAAACAAAAAGTGGCCTAGAAAATTACGAAAAAATAATAATAATAATTCTGCTACTTGCCAAGATGCATTTCATTTTTATTGACATCTAATGATGCTTTTAAGAACTACGACGCCTAAAGATGTCCATTATTAATAGCAGAATGGCTGACCTGAAGGATTGACTTTCCTTCTTTGTGGATATGATGAAAGTTTTTGGATCATGTATTTTCATGCTAAAATCTAAATGTACATACGATCTTCTTAATGATTTATTTGTAGAGGGATCCAAGGACAAACGACGCGGTTGATAAATTCTACAGCATCCTGATTGAATGTTTTAAACAATTTAAACCTTTAAAAAAACCGGTTGTTGTTAGAATATATCTGTATGGTTTGACCGTCCTTTAATAAATGTAATAAGACGAAAATCAAAGCTTTATAAAAGACTAGCTTTTGCCCACGGCTTCGCTCACGTAAATCTCAAATTTGACAATGAATTTGACTGGGATAAAGAATAGCCTTTGTGCTGTTTTAGACTTTAAACAATTTAAACCTTTAAAAAAACCGGTTGTTGTTAGAATATATCTGTATGGTTTGACCGTCCTTTAATAAATGTAATAAGACGAAAATCAAAGCTTTATAAAAGACTAGCTTTTGCCCACGGCTTCGCTCACGTAAATCTCAAATTTGACAATGAATTTGACTGGGATAAAGAATAGCCTTTGTGCTGTTTTAGACTATAATCTACCTATGTGCCAAATCTCGTCCAGATCCGGAAAAGCGTTTTGTCGTGATTGAATTACAAACATACTTACGTTTGGAAAAAAGCAAAAAAATAGATGTCTATTTTTTTTGATTAAGAATATAATTGGGAGAGTTTGAAATCGATAAGTTAAAAACAAAGGGTTCCCATACAAACTTGCATCGCTTTTTAAGGGTAGTTTAGAAAAATTGGTACCAACATTTTTATTATTTTAGTTACTATCAGTTGGAAAACGCCACTACCAAAAATAACGAAAAAGCCAACCCTAATTTTGCGCTCTTAATGGTAGAATGTTTAAAACTCCTTTCTTTGTGCACACCTACGTCACCTAAGCAAGATTTGTGCAAAATTTCATGTTTCTAGACCCAACGGTTTGAGCTATGTGTTAATCAATCGGTCAGTGAATCACTCTGACAGTTTCTTTTATATATTTAGATGGAAAAAGTATGGAAACCCTAGAGACTATGCTGAGTTTTTTCTTCTTCAAAGGCACCAACACTGCATACAAAAGGAACGATTAAATCAGTATAACACTGAAGATTCAATAGCATGGCAACCAAAACCATTCTTGAGTCATGTAAAGTTCGAACGATGTAAATTACGATGAAGGGAATAGTAAAAGCACTGCTTATGGGCCTGTTGGTCTAGTGGTTAGTGACCCTGACTGCTAAACCGGAGGTCGTGGGTTCAATTCCCACCCAGGACAAATATTTGTGTGATGAGCATGATTATTTGTTCTGTGTCTGGGTGTAATTTATCTATAATATGTATGTATTTAGAAATATATAAGTATGTTTATTAGCAGTCTGGTTACCATAGTACAGGCTCTGCCTAGTTTGAAATCAGACAGCCGTGTGTGTGATGTGTGAGGTTATTATTATTATTATTATAATAGCTTCTTGCAAAGTGTATTTTCTGCAATGTCTAGTCGGTTGAATCGTTCTTTTGAACCACTCCAATAAAGAATCTTTCACTGTGATTACTTGAACTTAAAATTAAAGGTGGATATTACAGAAGAAGTTGTCCTTAGCCATATCCTATCACTTTAATTTTCAATTAGTCATTGAAGGAGTGTGTCTTTCCCCATGAGTGGAAAAAGCAAACATTATTCGAATCCATAAAAGAGGCTCTAAAAGACAAATAGAAAATTATCGCCCCATATCCATATTCTGTACCATAGCAAAATAACTGTTTGAAATAATAATCAGAAGTAATTTTATCCTGTGAGGCGCGGATTCTGAGCGGTTTCGCTCAGAATACCTCACAACCAACATGGCTTTCTCAAGAATTGATCAACTACGTCGAATTTAGCTTCATTTAGTAATTAGACCTTATGAGGAATGGAGAATCCACGTCAGGTAGATGTAATATGCATCTCAATGCCTTGTATAATTATTATAAACTAAAGAATATAACTGTAAACATTAATAAATGTTGAGTGATTAGTGTCACTCCTAAGCATGATCCCATAAATATGGCTACAAGTTTGGGGGTTGGGTGAGCCTTATTGAGCGGGTCGAATCAGTGTGTGATCTTTGATTTTGTTAGATTCTAAGATGTTAATTGAAAAAAAATTTAATGAATACAGAAACGATCCGTGAAACACATGAACTACAACACACAGTCCTTATATTGAGGAGGACACTATAAGTTACTGGTTTCAGTCGTTATAAGAGTAATGGTGGCAGGATGTGTTTTTCTTATTTGATATCTTTGAACTCTGGCAAGTTTATTGTAAATGCAACCAGCTGAGACTGACTGCTTAATAAATTAAAACTGTAACCTAAATTAAAAAAACATGTGATTAGAACATCAGAATTGTATTCCCATTTCTTGAGCCTTTTTGCTGCGACTATCTTTACATATTAGCATCAGCTATAAATTTCAAATTGTAAACGGGCTCTATAAAAATATTGATACAAAATTTCCTTAGTGTGTGGTATTTTACACTTGAAGTGTACGATAATGATCACTACTGAAATATAAAGACCTTTGGCAACCCTTCCTAAAAGAGGTCAAAGTGATAATATGCACATGGTTGACAACAAACATACAGGGGAGGCTGATGTTTAGCTCTTTTAAATATTTATTCAGAGATGACCATAGAAAAATACGTTAGTATGAGGCCGTAAAATACTGTTTAGAAAAAACGGCTCGTGGCTTTAAATTCAAAATATGAGAAAAAATGAAACAAAACTGCATTTTTTGTAAAAACGATAACTGCTGTGTGTAATACTAATCTGAGTGTTGCTTTGTGCACATTATTTTGTTAGCGACTTTAATGTTATTTTATAAAGAAGCGACTGTATGGACCATAACATTGATATAATACTTAATAATAATACTTAGTAATTACCGCCTAAAATCGTTGCTACTGCACATATGTCCACAGGCATATGCGTAGCAAACGTCAATTCATTATTCAATGTGGCGTCAACCGAGTTGAACATAGCGACACATGACAGTAACAATCGCCAAAATGGCTAAATGCGTATTGAAAGAATGCGATTCAAGGTCACCAAACATTAATAAATCATGCGGAATTACTTTTCACGTGTAAGTTTATGGTTTTTGTATTGAGAATATCGTAAATAAGGCTATAATTGAAATAAAACACTGATAATTGTAATTTAGAATCAGTGTTACCATTAAAAAATCATTTTGGTTTTCCCACATTAGTGGGAGAATTTATAATTTATGAAATAATATGCTTTATACTGTTTTTAAACATTTTGCCAATAATAATAAAATATAGGAAGAACGGTAGTTGTTAGGGCTGGACCGATCCCTTTTTTTAGGGACCCGTTAAACGTTCACTGCGAGCTTGGCAGAAGTGCCAAGCTCGCAGTGCTGGAGACTTTTGTACAAAAAAAATTAATTCATTGTTTTTCTTAATTTATTATCAATTTTAAATAATAATTGTACAAAATAATAATAATAAATGTTTATCATAAAAATAAAAATATAAAATAAACAAATATTTTTTTTTATAAAATATTTTTTTTTTTTAAATTATAATAGAATTTGCAATACACCCTGGGGATTATTTATTATCAGTACAAGTTGATCATTCACTTTTATTATTAAATGCTATTATTTTTACATACGTAAAAATAAGATTGTATCATGAAAGTAAAATATCCACACAAACTTATAAAAAAGTCTAATATTTTACTTTCATGATACAATCTTATTTTTACGTATGTAAAAATAAGATTGTATCATGAAAGTAAAATATCCACACAAACTTATAAAAAAGAGTCTAAAAGACAATTGTATACAAAACTGATGCTTCACAGCGCAGTTTGATTTTACACTGAATATAAACCCTTTTAACCAAATATTTCCAGTTATTTTATTATTTATACCTATTATATTCAATTCGAAATATATTATTTAGAATATTTAAATTAATTTATTTTATTACAAAATTGTTTTAAAAAAAAATTGTTTCTTAGTTGTTATGGGTAAAATTTCATACGGTAGTCAACACTGGCCCACCATCGTAAAGTTATATCTTTGTCTTTGTCTAATCCGAGCGATGGTATTGTTCTTGTCTCGCGTGTAAATGAGACATAAATATGTTTACTTTCAAATGTTTAGTGGTATCAAAGCTACGTCGTCAAAGTTCAAAAGTGGTTACACTTTTTTCGACGTGTGATAATGAGGTTTGCTTCTCTAGTGTTGTTTTAACTCAATGGACCATAACACTTCTGTAACATACACACATGATTGCATGACTGACTTTGTAAACTCGCGATGACTTGTCAAATTCGATGTTAACTGTCACATTTGTCATTGTCGGCTGATTTACAATAACATTTCATCGTGAAGTTGTCGATTATTTTGTAAATAGATGTAAATAGTATAGGAAATTCTAGTTCAATATGCATGACTTTAAAATGACTTGAAAAGTAAAAGTATTTTCGAACATTTAATTATGAATCAAACATGGATGTCACTTTAGAGGAAAGCACCACTGAAAAGGTTCCGTCTTTGTTACAGGAATGTGTGAGAAGTATTTTGTCTGAAAACCAAACACCTGATTCTGTACAGAAAGACTTGTTGTTTGTGGTGATTGTAGTGTTAATGATAGAGAATGGATTTTTACCGGTTAATAATGAATTGGAAGTGATTGATCTTAAGGAAAGTTTTAACGTAGTACAGTTATCAAAATGGAAATTGAACACGGGAATATGTGAAGCTACGTTTGTTATGACGGGATTCAAAAACATAACCCTAAAGTTACTTATGAGTCCATTAGGAGCAACAGTGCTAGTGAATTTAGTGATTAATGAATTAAACTTTGAAACATATTCTACTTGTTTACCTGTTAGTCGTTATGTTGTTTCACCGCAAGCCACATCGGTCCCTATGATCTTTCGCGATTTAAAACATTTTTCGGTAACTTTTAAAAACAAAATATTATCAGCTGTGAAAAGTAGAATACTCAGTCATCATGGCTATGCCAGTGCAAGTTTGATTGGACTGCCAGAGGAAGTGTTAAATAACATTATGCTCAATCTGCCAGTTACTGATGTCCTTAGCATGTGTAAGACATGCACTAGAATGAAAGTTTTACTTGATAATCAAAGTTTGTGGCATTCTCTTTATAGGCGAGATTTTCAGATTAATTCTGAAATGGCTGTTACAAATTGGAAGGATTTGTATAAGAAGAATTATATATTACAACAAGATAAGACTTTAAGATCTAGACAGAGAAGGGCTGGAAGCATGCATGATTATATGGAATATTCCGATTATGTATCTTACATTGACAATCCAATGTGGAACGCTATCATTTGAGGTAGCTTCACAAAAAAAATATTTTCTTTTTATGTTTGTTGTATTGTTAATTTTTTATGTGGTATAAAATAAAACACAATTACATATATAGTCTTTCTTTCTAGATAAATGTATTTATTTTATCAATTTGTGATGCATTAATATATGCATTACAAGGGTTTTGTATATAAGAATTTATATATTTTCATATATTCCATGTAGGTGAGAACGAGGAGAAAAATGTGGGTGTGCATCGTCTGGGAAAAGGTGGTCGACATTTATCAATACCATTTGATTCAGCTACAACTAATGGTGATATAAGTAAGTACAAAGTTAAAATGTTGTAGGGTTGAGGTATTCTGATATGCATTTAATTTTGAACTTAATGTGGATGGAAAAAATGTTAATGTTTTTATAATAATAGTTTTAATACAGAGACTCCCACCCAGTTATTTTTATCAGTAGGGAGCTAGGCCTTTTCAAATTGTTTTATTTTCAACACTCATCAGGCAATTTGTCAAACACTACTTTTATTACAGTAACTATCAAACACTGGGTGAAGGGTCTTGGGGCCTCTTTTACCCTAAAATTGTTTAAAGTTGTCTAATTATAATCGTGGAATATATTGTATAAATTAAAAATAAGAATATTTGCAAAAAGGAGAATAACATACTTGACCTTTAACCCTTATGATCAAAGAAGTACTATCATTTATTTTTCTTTAAATGTGTGTAGCTCTTATTAAGCCTAAATACAGTTTATAATGGTTACTTTGAATGTTTTGTGAAAAGATGATAAATAAATAAACATACTCCATGCTCTAAATATCCATAGGATGATCATTTCCAAACCACAACAAGCATTTACTTAGGACCCGTAGCTCCTAAGTAAATGTAGTTCTGCAGCAAGAAGACAGAGCCTTTGTTGAAAGTATTCCAGATATTTTACTCACTTATCATCACTTACTAGTCAGAACATTAGCTATTACTGTTTTGACAATAATGACGTTTAAGTACCTAAAATATTATTTATGTATCTTACTAAGAGTCATCTCTCAAAGTTTTACTCCGAACATTAAACAAAAAAACTTGCTATTTTTTTTTTAAAACACAAAACTTATGATAGAGCAAAGAGAAGAACAAAATAATACACGAAAACGTTTCTTTTTAACATAATGATGGCTAAATTATCACGTCCAAATCATTCAAAGTTATAATCATCGATTTTGTGTTTAAGAAATCAACTATAAGTAAATTGATAAATTTAAAAATAAAATAATTCGAAAAACGCTATTACAATTAGATCCAAATCGTTTGAGATATACGAAATAAACATAATTATGTAAATGTGTACAAGTGTTGCATGTTTAAAATATCTTAACTGTCGTCATAAAGGTACTGCTCTATGTTCTTTAGAATGGTATTTTGTTTTTACCGATATTTATTTGCCGATAGTGAACCTAGAACCACACGGGTTTCTAGTCTATGGCAGGCGTTAGGCAGACCTAAGAAGGTTGTGTCCCCGGTAGAAGTTCGTATCGTTTGGCGCTCTCCCGGCGCCTAGTGTCTTCTCCTTCGAGTGAATAAAATTAAGCCTCTCTTGTTCCCTTTTTGCTGCATTTTTAGTTAACACTATCTCACAAAGTATGTCAGCTAAGTCCTTGTGATAAGTTAGGCATCATGCGGATAAGGAATTCGTTTTTTTACTCGTGTGTCCAATAGGTACCTGTCGAACTTGTGATCGCTGATTTGATTGGTCTCTGTTTTTTCTTTAGCACCACCTAAAGAATAGCAAAATTACAATTTTCATTTTCATTTAAATGAGAGGAAATCAATAAATTAGAATATTAATCAACACTGTATAATTGTATTCGCTTCTTATCAAAAAATATACCTTTTGGGAGTTCCTCAATAACGAAATTTAATCCGTGGAAGAAAGGATTTGTAGATACAAATAGCGTTATTTTTAACATACCCACCTAAATCTGTAAAGTGTATTGGTTTTGCTTGTGCTTCAAATGATCGTATAACAATATTTAGAAAACCTTAAGACCAAAGCATCTGATTAGCCCTAGTAAATTTTATATCGACAAATATTGAAAAAAATGTTTTAGCATTTTTTTTAAACATAACCAAAGTAAATTGTAAGTGGTAACTGATACTTCTATTTTTACTTATCAAAGTAATAGCATGCAAATTCAGAATTGGGCTTTTACAATATAGAAAGGATCAAAAAACGACACTGTACTCGTGTTTGTATGGGGTATAAAGAGCTGCGTCGCGATTGTCGCGACGGGTGCCGGGCGCCGGGCTTAGAGAACAGAAAGGGTGAGGGATGCGCGCGTGAGATGCGCCGCGCAGCCTCCACACGCTTTTGCCTCTGTGGCGCCTCCATCGGCGAGTTGATGTTAGTTCTGTGAGCTGGACGCTACGCCGAGAGTGATTTTCTAAATGTAGGCCTTTGTGCCGTGGTTTTTTTTCTGATGACCTGGCGTAGGTGAAAGGCCGTGGAGGGCCCACGGGCACTACGCGACCGGCCGCCGTGGCGGTGCTACGGACCCATGCTTACTCACAGTCGATCTGATGGCGATTTTCCCGTGTATACTAGAGGTGAGAGGCCTTCTCTTCTGGTCATTTTTCCAATACAAATTGTTAATTAATATGTTTGCAATGTACATATATGTGTGTATATTACCATCCTATAACACTACTTCCAATGTCCACAACTATCCCACAACACCAAACGCCCGAGACCAGGTTTTTGCATCTCATGTATCAGCTTTGTGTATTATAATTTTCCGTCCCAAGGGATTACAATTTCTCGTCATATTCAATCTGACAGTTTAACACGATATTAATTGCTTTAACCCAACAAAACAAGCAGTCTCAGGAGGTTGTTGAATGATAGCCAAATAAATAGCTTAAAATATAATGCTGCATATTGTGTTTTGATAAATTTTGTGTGTATTAATGTAGCTGTCATCGTATAGCTTGAGTCAATTAAGATAGCATATATACGAAGTCTTTTATTTAAAATATATACCTATATAAATAAATCTTTTCATTTTAAGCTCCGTTGCATCCATTATCTGCTACGTAGGCATATAAATATGGTTCGCTTAATTTCTAGGGCGATATAAACCTATTTTTAAATAAGGGCTACACGGTTAACCTGATCCCATCATCAAAAGCGTACACTGTGTTCATTCAAGCTTGTTTTTTTTTCGCTAATACAACTTACCGCCTCGTCTATTAGGTAGGTACCTACGTGTTGATTTGATGTTTAAAATATCTTTATGAAAATGAAACAATAATGGATTATGTCTAGCTAATTCATCCGTACGGAAAAGAAAAACGTCAGACGAACGAGCTGAAGTACTTAAGATAACGTTAAAACTCATGTATTCGTCTCATATGAAATTGGTACTAACTTAAATAGGATTCTTTAATCTTCAAAATTCAATTTGGAATTGTATTTTTGATATTAAAAATAGGCAAAATTAGTGTGAGACTAAATTATATAATTGAATGTAAGTAAGTTTATTGTTGTGACGAAAAAGGTATGATGAAGCCACCAATAGATTTTTCAAGATAAGTTATTCCTATCAGTCACTATCTAATCTGAGTGCCTATTGAGTGTGTAATGTCTTAGTGTCGTTTTAAATGTCGCACAAACAGGATATCAATATTATATTATAATGTAAATATTCGTGTGTTCATTAGTTAGTTGTATAGTTTATGAAGAACATGCCAATATGGATGATTTTTTTCGGAGAGCTAGACCGAGGCACCGGCCTGTAAATGATGATACTCAAAGTGATTGTGGAGTTTTAGATATTGATGAAGAAAATTGTAAGTGTTGCTTAGATCTGTTATTAACACGAGGTCTATAGATAGTACGAACGATTAATAGAGTTGCCGTACAGATTAGTTAGAAGTTTGGGTATGATAAGTTTATCGATAGAAAGCGTATAAGATAAATCGAGACTACCGAAGAATGTAATTAATTATTTCTTTCGGGTCATTCAAATTAAATTATTAATCATTTAAACATCTTGACAAATTCGGAAGTATGATGAAAGCATGTTTCCTTAAAATTATTTTTAAATAGGTAGATAAACTTAGTCATTCAATCGAATGATTAACCTTGAATCACAATCAAAGGCGAAAATTCAGTTTATTTTTTTTATTTCTGTTTAATACATGCTTGTCATATATAAAATTGTAAATGTATAATATTAATAATAGGATAATGAAGATAATCAAAATTTTACGACAACGCTTTATACCAAACAAGATAATATATGTAGAGAAAATATCTGTCTCAAGACAGTTTATGTTTATTTCTCTTTATTGTATGCTTATTTTGGGGACTTTGAATATTTACTTGTCTTGATAGACGAAATATTGGCTTTAATTACTTCGACTCAAAGAGCTTGCTGAGGAGGTATATTTCTTAATATGTACAAAGTTAAGTTAAATATGTTTCTCGGTGTAAAAAGCTTCTCTTAATTATTCAAATGGATAATGAAAAAGCATTTTTGTTATTCATTAGAAAAGCTATAAATAGAAAAAAAATTTATAAATATTAAAATACGTACAACAAAATTTGCAACGATCACATCTATACATGTATTAAGATGTCCATGTTTTTTCGCAAAATTACAGCAAAGTTAAGATCTAGACAAGTAAATAATCAAAGGTTGTATGTGTTTGCTCTTGTTAATTAAGTTGTCTATCTTTACAGATAAAACAGACAGACGCGGATTGACAGGTTATAATGGATTTTCTATAATATAATTGTTTATTGGTTTATGTATGCTAATGCATGAAAACTTTTTTTTGCACCTGTTTCTTCTTATGTTTGTTAATACTTCGTATTAGTTTTTATTACCTGGTCATTTATCTTGTAATCATTTAATGCTACCGCACTTATGAAGACTGTTATATCAACTTATCCTTTCAAACCATAATCTTATATATAAAATTCTCGTGTCACAATGTTCGTTCCCGTACTCCACCGAAACGGCTTGACCGATTCGGGTAGGTCTGAGAATCGGCCAACATCTATTTTTCATACCCCTAAATAGTAAGGGTGACCCATCCCTAATTTTTTATTGTTTTGCAATACAACGTTTGCCGGGTCAGCTAGTAGAAATTTATAAAATTTCAAATTATCGCAAGTTGCAACGTAATTCTTCTATCGCAAAAAGATGGGAGATCTAACTGATACTTGTTTGTGAACTAACATTCATAGTGACCGCGTTGATAATTATTTACCTAATCATTATTTCCTTACATAAACAGAATCCATACTTGTTAGTTTGTTACGTCACGCCTAAACCACTAAACCGATTTTAAAAATTCTTTCACCTATGTAAAGCTACATTATCAGAGAGTGACATAGGCCATAACCGAAATACGCGAGGGCGAAGCCGCGTCAAAAGCTAGTAACTAATAATTTCAAGTGAGCCTGCTTCTCAGTGTCGAATAGGTTGTGCAAACTATGTACTTGACCTCTTCATACGTCATTTTCGTAATCTTTTCGATGTTAATGTTTAATTTCCGCAACCTAAGCCGTTAAATACAGATTACATCTTTCTTTAATGACAAAAAATTGACCTTATCTAAATTTGCTGAAGAATCGGTGGACAGAGGTCTTAGAAGAAAGAGTCTTCGTCTACATTTTAAATTTGAAGTCTGTCTGAGAAACGACTCTCGGTTTTGGCTACTCGTACATTTAAAGCCGAAAAATTACCTGTTCTCGAATTAGATCCATTTTTCAGTGAGATACGAGGGGTGATCAATAAGTAATGATAATCAATATGAAACAGAACTATTAGATTAAAAAAAGTATTTTATTTTTCAACATAGTCTCCTTGCAAGTTAATACATTTAGTGTATCTTTTTTCTAAGCCCATGATTCCCTTAGAAAAAAATTATTTGTCTTGACCCTCCCAAAATGCCTCTACTGCGGCCATCACTTCACTATTGTCCTCAAATTTGTTGCCCCGGAGGTGTTCTTTGAGCCGAGGAAAGAGGTAGAAGTCACTGGGAGCTAGATCTGGCGAATAGGGAGGGTGTTCGAGCAGTTCGAACCCCGTTTCTTCAATGGCAGCCATCGCAACTGCGGCTTTGTGAGCCGGGGCGTTGTCTTGGTGAAACAGCACTCCGGCGAGCAGTTTACCGCGTCTTTTTGACTTAATAGCTTCTCGCAATCTTCTTATTTGGCCTGCGTAGTAAGAGCCTGTAATAGTGGCCCCCTTTTCCAAATATTCCACCATAATAATTCCTTCTGCATCCCAGAAAACAGACGCCATAACCTTTCCCGCTGAACTTGACACTTTGAATTTCTTCGGCGTTGGTGAGGAAGCTCGTTTCCAAGTCATTGATTGTTGTTTGGTTTCGGGATCAAAGTGGTGGATCCAGGTCTCGTTCATGGTCACAAAACGCGACAAAAAAAATTCTTTATCGGCCTGGAACTTTTGAAGATTCACCCTCGAAATGTCGACTCGTTTCTTTTTTTGCTCTTCGGTTAACATTCTCGGTACCCAACGCGCAGAGACCTTTTTCATATGCATTTTGTTGACAATGATTTTTTGAACGCTGCCATAGGAGATCCCTGTGACCTCAGCTACATGCTTTACGGTCACCCTTCGATCGGCCAACACGATATCTTCCACTTTTTTGACGTTTTCTCCAGTAAGGGACGTGGAAGGGCGTCCCTCGCGATGTTCATCTTCAGTGGAGGTTCTGCCCAGCTTAAATTCCTTTGCCCAGCGTGCGACTGTGGAATATGGAGGAGCAGACTCCCCCAATGTTTCCTCTAAGTCGCTGTGTATGTCTTTGGTAGACATTTTTTTCAGGCAGAGGTACTTGATGACAGCTCTTATTTCATTTTTCTCCATTTTGATGTTTTCTCTTCGACAGTTCGTATTCAAATGAATGTATCTCCCGGTAATGGTGTCCTATTTATACTTTTTTGAAGCTGAAGTAGTGGATCTATAAAAAATTATCGCAAGTTGCAACGTAATTCTTCTATCGCAAAAAGATGGGAGATCTAACTGATACTTGTTTGTGAACTAACATTCATAGTGACCGCGTTGATAATTATTTACCTAATCATTATTTCCTTACATAAACAGAATCCATACTTGTTAGTTTGTTACGTCACGCCTAAACCACTAAACCGATTTTAAAAATTCTTTCACCTATGTAAAGCTACATTATCAGAGAGTGACATAGGCCATAACCGAAATACGCGAGGGCGAAGCCGCGTCAAAAGCTAGTAACTAATAATTTCAAGTGAGCCTGCTTCTCAGTGTCGAATAGGTTGTGCAAACTATGTACTTGACCTCTTCATACGTCATTTTCGTAATCTTTTCGATGTTAATGTTTAATTTCCGCAACCTAAGCCGTTAAATACAGATTACATCTTTCTTTAATGACAAAAAATTGACCTTATCTAAATTTGCTGAAGAATCGGTGGACAGAGGTCTTAGAAGAAAGAGTCTTCGTCTACATTTTAAATTTGAAGTCTGTCTGAGAAACGACTCTCGGTTTTGGCTACTCGTACATTTAAAGCCGAAAAATTACCTGTTCTCGAATTAGATCCATTTTTCAGTGAGATACAATATTTACAATTTTAGTTTGTAATAAAATGAAGAAAGTTTGATTTTGAAACTTTAGTTTTTCTTGTTTGTAATCTTGTACTTAAAATAAAGTATTATCGGATAGTGTTTTATGTATAATAACTTTTTGAGTCGCCGGTCACTAGATAAAACAAATTATTTGCGACGATCAAAAAAAAAACCAAGGCTTACGCTTACGCTAATGTAGATTTTCTCAATTAATTTAAGTATCCCTCAGGAACAGTAGTTACTTAAGTTATTCTTTGTTCTTTCCTGAAGATATTCCTAATAATATGTATGAAAAATTTCATTATGATCAAATGAACTACTTTTGCATGATTAGCTATGATTTCTTATTTTAGCTGCTATAGTATTATTTACTCCATTCAATTTTGAGTATCTACCTATTACGGTTTAAATGATGTAGCCATTATTGAGATGAAGCTAGTTTTTTGACGCTTTGCGCGTCTTTATACATTTTTAATGTGTATGTTCAACGGTTACAGAATATCCTAAGGTCTAATAAAACGTCCAAAAGTTATGATGCTTGTATGCTCTCTGCACCCTATATATTTCCCTATTGCCTATTTGTAATTCTTGCGAGAATTGAAATTCTCTGTGAAAATTAAAACTACTCTATCTAATACAGTTTATAAGGTACAGCCCGCTGACAGTCTATCAGCGTCCTTTCCGGGCACGGCTGCTTCGGGAAGTACCTGCACTCGGTCGCCAGGAGGGAATTGAGTTCCGCCTGTCACCACTGCGATTGCAGTGAGGACTCGGCTCAGCACACACTGGAATTTGCCCAGGCTTAGGCGCCGCAGCGCACACAACACAGACAAAATTATTTAAACTGGTTTTAAAGCATAGGTATCGCGCAAATAACCGCGCGAGCATGAAAAGAACCTATTATTTTGACATGACAAACAGACACTTCAATTTTATTTACTATACCACGATGGCCAAACGGGTTGGTAGTGTATTTGTGTCAAGTTTTCGTTCTCTCAGGAGTTTTGTTGTTCTGCGTAGTTTGCTCCCTTAGTCGGCTCTTAGGACACTCACGGGATAAATATATATTATAATTATAAGTAATAAGGATAAATAAAAAAATACTAAACCAAATTAATAGCTTTTAAAGTATTTAATTTGGAAATTAAAAAAGTTTTGTAACCTTAAAAAAATGACATGTCATATTGGAAAATCGTATAATAATACAAGAATTCTACTATCCTCCTGGCTGTATCATCAGACAATGTTATAAAACCTTATCTGATGTACTCTTTGAGCTAAAACTGGAGAGGTGTACTGAAAAATTTTGTTATATATAGATGCCAAATTGTTATGCAAACTACATTATACTCGTATGTATTTTTATGACAACTCTCGCACTAGGAATAAATCCGGTGGCGCGGGGAACTTAACTGTCCGTTTCATGAATGTTTCATGAAACGGACACAAAGAACACCCAGACTTAGAACAACAATTTGTGAATCACACAAAGTATTATCCCATGTGGGGATACGAACATTAAAAATGGATTAAAGTTTCAAGTTTTGTTTATGTAGGTATTGCGTTAGTTACTTACTAGTAAAGGGAATAAAAGAGTGTTAATAACGAAAGACCAACCAACTAACAGGTAATTTAAAAATAATTCTGAATAATCTAGTTTAATTTGAATTAATACTTTGTTTGCCCTTTCTTCATATAAGGCTCTCCCCTTGGAAACGGGCGGTTGTAGATCGGCACAAGCATATAATAGATTGTCGATAGGCATAATTTTATTATATTCATTTTGCTAAATGTATGACAAAACAGAGATTGTTGCTATTGTGAGTGTAGATCTATGACTTTAGAGTCTACATAAAAGAGGATTTAAAAAAATCTAATTTTTTAAATTAATAAAGACATTTGAGTTTACTGCATATTTAACTAGTAAATTGGCATTTCTACCCACCCAGGACAAAAAATTGTGTGATGAGCACAATCATTTGTTCTGTGTCTGGGTGTAATTTACCTATAATATGTATGTATTTAGAAATATATATGTTTATTAGCATTCTGGTTACAATAGTTACTGGCTCCGCCTTGTTTAGGATCAGACGGCAGTGTTAGAGGTTATCATTATAATTAAAACGAGTTTCCTAAAACTAGCCTTTGTAGCCTAGCTGG